TCTTAAAGGAATAATGCAGAGACCTCATGTTCCCCCTACCTTTCTCGCCTTAATATGGCATGCACACATGGGCATGTAACACACACACACACACACACACACACACACACACACACACACACGGCACATGGCTGAGGTACCTATTTAACACATCAAAGCATAAGTGGCTCACAGGTTCTCTCTGCATCTCCCAGTCCCTGCCTGTTACAGGGCCCTCCTGGCTGGCATAAACCAACCCCTACCCTGAACTTCTCCAGCCTAGGGGGCTAGGCTGCTCTTCACTATATAATCCAACCATTTTGGTTGCCAGTTCTCTTTGCACATAAGGGCCTCCTAGCTGCTGCACCTGGTCCCTTCCCCTTTCTCTTCCCCTCCCCCTCTCTCCACATGGCACAATTCAGTCTGGACATCTGGACTCTCCCAGATGTCCCTGTTCCTACTTCTGAGATACCAAATATACACACAGTGGTGTGCTTACTGATCCTCTGAGGATAAACAACCTAGCATTAGGGCTTCAAAAATATGACTGCTCCTAAGTATGGTAGAGGATAAGCTTTATTATTTTTTTAATCTCTCTCTCTCTCTCTCTCTCTCTCTCTCTCTCTCTCTCTCACACACACACACACACACAAATAAAAAAAAAACAAAATAAAACTAATATTTTGAAGCCTTAATGCTAGGTTGTTTATCCTCAGAGGATCAGTAAGCACACCACTGTGTGTATATTTGGTATCTCAGAATGTTGATACTGTCTGTCTCAAGTGGGTTTGAGAGGTACTGCTGGAAGAAGTCAGTTTAAAGTCAGGACATGTGAGAGGGATGGGTTTGTCATACTCTTGGGCTGAAGATCCAGTTTGGAAAGGGCAATGTGTCCATCTGAAGAATAAGTAAGTAGGCCACAGAGAGAGATGGATCAGCTGAAAGAAGTCGGGACAGAAATTTTAAGAGTTGTGTCCTTGGTGGAAATCATGTTGTTGAGTGGAACTCACTTGGGCCTGGCCACCTGAAAGCCACCAATTACTGCTATGTGCTGGAATCAGGGGAGAAAATTTGGTAAGAAGACTGGTCAGAAGATTTCTCCTTGTTATCATTAGCCATTTCAGCCTTCTCTGAAAAGCCAGAGGGAGTGTTGGGAAGTCTAACATGAAGAATTTGGCAGCCTTGTTTGCAGGAAAGGGGGCAGAGAGGCAAGAAAATATTTGAAATTTGCTATGGGAATTAATAATTTACCTCAGAAGAGAATAAGGAAGAGCTATTTATATTAGATAAAAACATCAAGTTCCAAAAGAGAAGTCATCTGGATCAGAGAAAAAACAATAGTAAGAGTTGGGACAAGCCGGGCGGTGGTGGCGCACGCCTTTAATCTCAGCACTCGGGAGGCAGAGGCAGGCGGATCTCTGTGAGTTCGAGACCAGCCTGGTCTACAAGAGCTAGTTCCAGGACAGGCTCCAAAACCACAGGGAAACCCTGTCTCGAAAAAACCAAAAAAAAAAAAAAAAAAAGAGTTGGGACAACATCAGATGGGAGACCTTCTGAAATGTGCAACAGGACCACAGTAGTGACCCTGAGAGGCAGCTTATATTCCATTCTCCAGTCAGATAAGGAAGGCATCTACACAGATATGTGCAAGGTGCATCCAATACTTGTATGAAATATAATAACAACAGTTGTTTTGTTCAGCTAGATTAGCTTGCAACACCTTGTTTTATCTGCATCAACTGTCCCACCAACACTCTTGGAACACATGGGAGACCCTAATACAGACTTCTAGGGTAGGTACATGCTCTGATGTACATAGCCAGTTAGGTTGGTGGTAGGACAAACCTATAACCCAATCTCAACTAAGGAGAGTTAGCCTTCAAAGTTGTCCTGAAACTTTTGGGAGTAATTTACACAGTGCTCCCCACTATCAGCTTCCTAGCCTGTATTGGGTCAAATGGGAGATAAGTTGTGTTGCCCTATCTGTGGCTCTCTTCCTATTGTGCAGCAGTGACTGCTGAACACAGGCACTTAGTTAATATTTATAAAACAACTGGACAGAGTTGATAAAACGCTTGCAAGCATGAGGACCTAAATTCAATCTACAAAACATGGTGGTAATGCTTGTAATTCCAATGCTGGGGAGGTAAAGACAGAAGGATCCCTGTGGCTCATTGGCAAGCCAGTCTAGCTTACTTGGTGAGTTGCAGGCCAATGAGAGACTGTCTTAAAAAACAAGGTGGAGACCAGTGGGGTGGCTCAGTGAATAAAGTCACTAAGCCTGATGACCTGAGCTTGATCCCTGGGAGGACCCACATGGTGGAAGGACAGAACTCATTTTCACAAGTTGTTCTCTTGCCAATAAATACCTTCACACACGGTGACAGACACACAGACTCACAGATAAACACATACAAACAAAAAGACAATTGTCCAATTGTCTGGGAGGCACAGGAAAGTCTCTGTCCTACCAGCATCATAGTAAGCACATTCAGTGAGATTCTGCTCCACCTGGGAGTAAGCTGCTAACCTAGGGAGCCCACTCATCTGGTTCCTAACCTCTAGGTGACCTTTATCTTTTTTGTAATTGACATTATTGACCAGACTTCCTAGTGTTGTGTGAGCCATGTAAGTTAGTTGCTTAAAACTATTTTTTTAATTTCTTTTTTTTTGGAGATGAGGTTTCTCTGTATCTTTGGCTGTCCTGGAACTCCCTCTGTAGACCAGGCTGGTCTTGAACCTACAGAGAGCCACCTGCCTCTGCCTCCTCAGCATTGGGATTAAAGGCGAGCACCTACACTGCTCAGCTTTAAAACTAAAATCTTGAATGAATAAGCTGAAACTTTCTTGATCTCCGCTGGAAGCCTTTTAAGTGTAGCTGAGGCAATACTGGCTACATTGTGGAAGCAAGTGAAAGGTGTACTGGATTTATATTATTCTCTATTCTTTGAGATTTTTGAAACTTTCCATAATAGAAGATTCAAGAGACAAATATTTTGGTGTGGGGGCGGTACTGGGGAGGCGGATATAGGTGGATAAATGGAGCTTACTGGCTAGTCTGCCATACCTAATTCTGAGTTCCAGGCCACTTGAACAAACCAACAAATAAAAGCAGTGGAATGTGGTGGCACATGCCTTTCATCCCAGGACTTGGGGGACAGAAACAAGCAGATCATTGTGAGATCATTGCCAGGGCCACATAGTGAGACCCTTCTCAAAACAACAAAACAAGTAACTAATGCTGGGCCTGGTGGCTTCTGCTTTCAATCTCAACAGAGAAACAGAGACAGAGACAGAGTTTGGTACAGACTTAGGGGCTGGGTGTTAACTGTTATCATCACTATATCTGAGATAAGGAGCTGAGCCCTGCTGACTTTCTTGCTTGCCCCCTTTAGTCTTGGATACACAACTCTCTCTTTCCTGGCATGCCTCTCCTCCTTGGCACTCCACACTTCTAAACTAGCATATGTCTGCTACTGAATACTTCCATTCCTTTTCCTTTATCTCTCTTCACATTTACTTATTTAGTGTATGTGCATGTATGTGCCTATACATGGTTGAGGACAACTTGCAGGAGTTGGTTCTCTCCTTCTACCATGGGTTCTGGGGATCATCAGATTTGGCAGCAAGTGCCTTTATCTAATTGAGTTCCTCCAGCCCCCACCCCCTTTTTGGATACAGCACCTCATACATGTAACCCAGGCTGTCCTGGAATTTGCTAAGTAGCCATGGTTTAATTTTAACTTTTGAACCTCCTACCGCATTCCAGTTCCTAAGTTTTAGAATAGATGCATACTACTATACCCAGCCCTACTCTCCTTTCTTAAGGCCTGTCTGCTCTTACCATTTTTCTTGAGACACAGTACTTAACACTGATGGGCTGAAGGCTTGGAAAGCAGGTTGCCACAGTAGGACTTCTAAGTTTGTCACCTCTGGCATGGCCACCTCAGGGATTCCTTATGGGCTCCTCAAATTACTATGCCTTGATGTCTCCCATCTAGGAAGTCTAAGTTGTGTTTTCTCCATTTTGGAACCAGGTTGCTTCTGCACTCCTGGAGTTGATATTTTAGTGCCTGTACCAGTTTTAATTCCCATCTGTCTCCCTATAGGCTCACACTGGGCTAGTGAGAGTTGGTGAGTTTCCTTGGTTTCCAGAGTACAGAACCATCTCTCTAATCAAGGCAATGGGTGATGCCATTCTGCCTCCTATTTGAGTCACTTCTGAGCTGCAGGGCCTGTTGACAAAGGCTGTCTGTTCAAGCTCCAAGAGCAATATGTTGGTTGATCCTCTGGGACTCATCTGTCCCCTCCATACACAAAGGACAACACCATCTTTGACTCTCTACTGAGGACAACATCTGAATGCATTTTATTCCACTGAAATTGATTAGTTTATTAACAAACAGGTTGCTTAGAAGGTGAGCTCTCTGACAATCTGCATATTACCATATACTTTATGAGGAACTTTGATTGGACTCCAGCTACTTGGGCACCAAAGGCCAGTCCTCCATTCAGGTTTGATCTGATTAAACTCTGATATGGCTTACTTAAAAAGGATCACACTGAAAACAGGGTTGGATGGCAGGGCAGTGACTCTGGGAGGGAGATGTTCTGGAAGATGTCCTAACCTACCCATTGGCTGCTCCAGTGAAAGGAGCAAGCACTGAAGACCCTTGCCTCTGGGGGCACTCAAGAAATAGAAGATGACACAGGAGAGGCAGAGGAAGGGGCTGGGTGGAACTGACTGTGGGATCAGCTTTAGGAAAACAAGGACACAGCTACCTAAGCTCCGTGACAAAGTGAAATGCCCCAGCCCTGCAGCTCTCATCACCTTGAAGTCACATTCGAACCCTGATGTGTTGGGGCAGGGGAGCCTCATGCCTGGGCATGGGGCAAGGCCTCCACCCTATACTGGTGCCATGCTGCCTCCTTCAGTCTGGTCCCAGGGCTCTGCTGTGCTAGCCCGCCATGCTCCTTCGAGGGATACAGCCTTCCATCTCCAGGGCTTCTGGCCAGCCCTCTTATTTGTTGGTGTGCTTACTGTTCTTCACATGCTGTAGGGGTTAACAGGAAGTTATGATCTAGCCCTCAGGGGCCAATCACCAGGGTACTCTTCAATCTTGTGCCCTTCCCTTCATGCAGGGAAAATGGGATGGCTGCAGTGGTTTATTCTCTCACAAGTGAACTGGGGATGGACCATGGGCCTGATATACACCAGGACTGTGAGCCTTGTGGACTGGAGGAAGTCCATGTGGCCCTGGCTTCAGGGAAATGCTGGAAGCTGCTGCTGAGTTTGGGGTGAAGGGTCTTGGAGGGCATGAGCTTGAAGTTTTTTTTTTGTCTTTTGTTTCTGTCAGCCACAGCTATGGAGAAATTTGTATTTGTTGAGAGCAGGACTTGGGGGCCTACCTAAGACTTTTTGCTGCGAATCTTCTTAGGTAACGATGATACCAGGGACCCTCCCCTCTTTAGCAGCCCCTAGCACAACATATGACTGGTGTAGCCTAAGAGGGAACCCATGGAAGACTGAGAAAGAAGGGTGTAGTATAAATTGGGAAACCAGGTTGTGACAAAGCTAGGATGGTAATGAACATCTTTTTTTTTCCTTTAAATCTGAGACAGTATTTCATGTACCTCATGCTGGCCTCAAATTCATATATGACCAAGGATAATCTTGAACTTCTGATTTTTTTTGCATTTACACAGTGCTGGTATTACAGGTGTGTCCCCATGCCCAGTTTTATACAATGCTAAGTACTGAATGCAGGGCCTCATGTATGCTGTTCAAACACCTACCATAAATGAGCTATATCCCTGAACTAAGCATCCTGAAAATGTCTGTGAAAAAGATTTCTTAGTTATATTCAATGGGCATTCTGACTTTTAAAGACTCTTTAGGTTGAAATATATATTCAGGGAAGCTTTGGTGTAAAGAGAAGGGGTGGCAAGGTTACCAGGGATAGGGGGCAGAAGTGCCAGGTTATCTGCTGTACCTGCTCAAAGGGGCTCTTGTTTTGTACACCTTTGGCTCCCACAAACACCCAGCTGTCACGGAAGGCTAGCTCCTTGGCGTTCCTGCTGCCCAGTTCAGAAAAAAGTTTCCTGGTCTCTTCATTCATCCTGTCACACAGTAAGAAGAAAGAAGAAATATGAACTTGGGATTGTAACTGCACTGGGACAACACTGAAGCTAAACTTGATAGTTACTTACTTGGTAGCTGGATCATCATAGGATGCCACAAACACTAGGGTACCTTCATGCAATGGCCGGATGAACTTCAAGAGATCATTGACATCTGTTGGTGATGGGCCCACAGGCAATGGAACTTTAGGTTCCACTGAGCAGCCCTTCCCTACCAAACAATATTCTTCTAATGAGGAAAACAATGTAGGGACTGGGCAAGGGCTATTCCACCTTAAGGGCTACCAGTATGAGCACAGACAAACTGGTAAAGAAGCTACGGCCATCTGGTCATAAAACATAGACTCCAGACAGAGATCCCCTATCTCCTATATTTTGTGAACCCAAAGCTATAAGAACACAAAGATACAGAGGGCAGGGCTTTAGGGAGAAAATATATAATAGGATGCTGTGGTGGCTACTCACCTCCAGCCCACATGTCGAAGGCTCTGGCTTCCAGGAGCTCACCACTGACCCCTGTTGCAAGAAGAGGAAGACCTGCTAAGCAAACTGTCTGGGACATGCTACCTTAATGCTTCAGCTCCTCGCCCAGGCTCAAACATGGAAGGTGGTAGCTCTTCCAGAAGCTTCAAACATGCCCTGTCATCCTTTCATTCACAGAGCTACAGCCCATGGAGCCTCTGGCATGAGGCGCTATGCATCCACCACTACTGGTTATTCACTGGGTAACTTCCTTTGTAGAGCTTTTGGGTGGCATAGATTTTTTTCCCCACAAGCCTCCCTGGGAGTACCCAGAAGCCACCTGCACCTGCATAGGGAGTGATGGAGTGGAGGGGGCAACCATAGCATGAATCTGCTTCTATGGTCTGAACGCTGACCCTACAACATGGGGGACTTACCATTCACCAGGGCAATGTTCAGCCCACGGCCCACATTGTCCTTGACGCTGCTCATGAGCCTAGCAGGGGGGCAGAAGATCTCTTGTGGTCATATCAGATATCTCTTCCTCATATAGCCCTTAGCCCTTGGCCCTTGCAGACTTGGCCTCAAGTTCCCCTCCCACTTCCCAGCCCATATGCTCACATCTTGTCCTCGAGGCAGATCTTGGGCCCGATGACATTGGCAGCCCCGCTGACTATGCGAAAGGCCAGGTGCTCCTCAGGACATGGCTGGGGCAGGCCGCACTTGTACTTCCTGGCCCTTGGTTCTGAGTAATGATAGCAGATGTGACCCATGTGCCTGGCCCTGGTATCACCTAAGATCTGAGGGTGGAGGTCAGGACAAGCCATAGGGCTGAAGGAGCAGTCATAGTGCATGGAACTGGGGAAGGAGGTGGGTGGGGCTCATACCCAACGCTGGGGATGCTTTCAAGTAGTAAGTTGGCAAGGGTGTAGGGACACCAAGAATAAGACCAGTAGCTTTTTTGCTACTGATAGGAAAAGTGAATGGGGGTTGAGAGTTGGCTTGGAACCCTTATACAACCAGAAAAAAGCAGAGGTCCAGAAAGTCAGGGTGGAAGTTCCATGGATGAGGTACACAGTCAGACCAAAGTAGATGAACTGAGGTAGGTGGGTGGAGCATGGGGGCTCTGCTAGCTTCTGGATTTCTTCAGGATGAGGGTGGGGATGATCTCTATAATGGCTTGAATTATGACCCTATAAAATATTCTGGAGTCTGAATTTCTAGTTACTCAGAATGTTGTCTTGCTTGGAAACAGTCTTTAAGACAAGTAAGTTATGTTCAAGTCATACTGGATTATGTTGAGCCCTTAATGCAGTGTGCCTGGTGTCCTTAGAAGAGATAAAACCAAACAGAAGGAAATGCTGTGAGATAGTACAGGCAAAAGTCAGAGTGACGCAGCTACAAGATGAGGTACATAGAAGGCTTCTAGGATCTGCAGAGGCACAGAAAGACCCTTACCTGGAGCTTTTAGTGGGAGCACAGCACTCCTGATACTTTCATTCCTACTCTTGGCTTCCAGAATTGTAACAAAGTAAATTTGGTTTGTTTAAGGCACTACTTTTCTTAGGGAAGCTTCAGGAAGCTAATATACGTTTTGGTGCCAGGAATTGGGGGGTTTATATAAACAAATAACACAAATACCTAAGAATGTGGAAATGAATTTGCCACTGGGTTGAGTGGACAAAGGATGAAGAGTTTTGAGGTATATAATAGAAAGAGTCTATACTGCTTTAAAAAAAGAAAACAACCTGCTAATAGGAATACAGAGTGAAGCCAGATATGCTACTGCATATCTTTAATCCCACCACTGGGAAAGCTGAGGTAGGAGAATCATGATTTCAAGGCTATTCTGAGCTACCTAGTAAGTCTTTGTATTAAAACAGATTTAGCAAAATGGATAGTAAACACAGTTTTGGTGCAAGCTCAGAAAAATGAGCAATAGAGAAAGATTCTTCTGTTGAATCTTTCACTTGCATCATCCTAAACAAGTGTTGATAGGAACATGAATATTACAGGTCTTTTGGTGAGATCTTAGAAGGAAGTTGAAGAAGCCATTAACTGGGCGTGGGAGGAAAGGTCATCCTTGTTATAAAGTGTCAATTGTTCTGTAGATTTAGCAGAGGAGACTCTCAAACAATGGTAAAGGTATTATCTCTATAATGGGGATTTTTTTTTTGCTTGCTGCTGTTCATTGTAAAATGTGAGCAGACAGAGCAGCTGGGGAAAGAACTATCGATCATGAAGGAGCTAGAACATGAAGATTGAAAACAAATCCTAGCACTTGGGAGATGGAGGCAGAAGGATCAAGAGTTTAAGGTTACTCTTGGCTATATAGTGAATTTAATGACAGTCTGGGATTCATTAAACCCTGTCACAAAAAAAGAAGGGAAGAAAGAAAATGTTAGCCTAATTATAGTATAAAAACCGAGAAAGCAGTCCAAACCTGTAACTCCAGCATTTGATAGGGTAACACAGGAGGATCACTGACAGTTTGAGAGCTACATAGGTAAGTTCAAGGCCAATCTGTGCTATAGAGTGAAACTCTATCCAAAAAAAAAAATCTGAAATATTTTATGGGCTAGGAAAATAGCTCAGTGTAGAGTTCAATTTCCAGCATTATATATTTTTTAAAAAGCATCCTTTAGAGAGAACACAAAGAGGATGGCTAGCTTAGGATTTGCTAAGGAAATGAAGTGTGTAATTGTGGATGTGCTCCCGCCTCTCAGAAGCCTGGATTTGAAATGGGAGGATTCTCTTGTCTTATATAACCTGGGCCCTCATGAATCCCATGAGAGGCCAGCAAACTTTGTTAGAAGTTTATACAAACAGAAACACTATCAGTCTATGAAAAGGACAGAGACAAGAAGAATATAAGGATGGAAGCAAGAAAGGAAGGAAACATGGAAGGAAAGAAACAGGGAAGGGAGGGAGGGAGGAAAGAAAGAAGGAAGGAAGATTCTGAATATAGAGCCAGGAATGAAGAGGCCAAAGAGGGTCCAAGCTCAGAGGGTGACACTATCTCCCATTCCAGAGGATGGGGTCACTTTAGTGGGTCTAGAAGCAGAGTATCTGAACATAGACATTTCTTTTTAGAACTTGGAATTTAGAAAAATTGCCTTGCCCTGCTATGTTTGGGATTTGCTTAGAACTATGAGTGCCCTACTTCCTTTCTCCAGTGTCTCCCATTTAGAATGGGAGTGTTCTTTTTTTCTTTTTTACTATGCCTGCTTCTCTAGCCTTCTGATGGTGGATACCTTATTTACTAGGTTCACAGAACAGAAAGCTATGACAGCTAGTGGCTAGAGGGTCAGATGGACAACAGAAGTCCTGGTGGGCAGGCTGGAGCAGGCAGGGGTGTCACAAAAGGCGGTATGATATGCAGGCACAGGAGGGGACAGGGGAGGGACAGGCAGCTTACCTGCTGTCACTGAGTTCTCTGGGCCTGTGGATACAGAGGGTTGTTTCTGTTAGCATGGAGGCCTCCAGGAGCCTATATAGCAGAGCAGACAGGATCACAGACTTGGGGCCAAATCAGGCTACACTTGGTATGTTCCCCACTCAAGTCTCAATGATGCCCTGATGTAAAACTGCCTGCTCCAGGAAAAGGATGAATTGGAATTATAAGTAGTGCTTAGGTGACTTGGTACTAAGATGCAGAATCCCTTGTGTATGTCAGAGCCCAGCAGAAAGTCCAAGATGATCAATGTTTAGTGGAGGGCTTTCCACTCCTTACTCTTACTCTATCAATTTCTACTCAATATTGGATTGCAGTTAGGGGGTGTTACTCTCTAGGTCAGTTGGTAGGGACAACAAGGCTGCATTTGTGTTAGAAGATAGGCTAAGGGCAGCAAAAAGAAGCTATTCAAGAAGGGGAGGGACAACCCAACCATCACACCCCATATTTTAACCTGTTAGTGAAGCAAGAAGGTCCCCACACTCACTGGTGAAGAACTGCTGAATTCGAGGAAGGCCACCACCAGGACCACCCAGGAGGATGGTGACTAGGATCCAGGTGAGACCCATAGTGATGATTAGGGCCACGATGCGCAGGGGGCCTGTAGGCAGGGTAGACACAGGGCAGGCCCATCTCAGATACCAGTGAACAAATGCAGCAATGACCCACTGCCTTACACGACCAGATCTCCCCTTCTACTTGGGAATGAGTTATGGAAGGATTAGAAGGTGGAGAACCCATTGCTACCCACCAGTCCCAAGAAGGAGACTTGAACTCCCTCCCTCCTTGTGGAGGGAAGAAAGTGAGTTCAAACGCTGAGGTTGCTCTGTTTGGTTCTCCCCAGCAGGCTGGGAGGAACCTTTTAGAACTCAAGCTCTGAATAGGTTCCATATCACCAAGTTCAGCATCTTGCCTCTGAAACTGTCTGTATTTACAACTCAACCATCTGCCTCTCCTTTCCTCTTGTTCTGATGGAGGATCTATATTCCTTTTAAAGACCAGTTCTCAGGGCTGGAAAGATAGCTCAGCAGTAAAAGCACTTGACTGCTCTTCCAGAGGTTCTGAGTTCAAATCCCAGCAACCACATGGTGGCTCACAACCACCTGTAATGAGATCTGGTGCCCTCTTCTGGCCTGCAGGCATACATGCAGGCAGAACACTATACATCATAAATAAATAAATATTAAAAAAATAAAGACCAGTTCTCCTACTTGCTTCAAGATCCATCAAGTTCTCTCCTGTCTTAGGTATGCTGTGCTAAGGCTCCTTCCTTCTTTCTACCTCACTTTCAGATTATTAAAAGGTCCTAACTTAGTAAGATAAAGATGAAATAGAACTCCTGCAAGAAAAATCTCATTTTCTGACTCCTCACCTTCCACTTCCCCACCAAATTCTTTAAAACTTTATACTCTGTGGTAGAGCTTTTGTCCAGTATGCATGTGACCCTGGGTTCCACCCCCAGCATACACATAAAAAGTCATCTACAGGGCTGGAGAGATGGCTCAGTGGTTAAGAGCATTGCCTGCTCTTCCAAAGGTCCTGAGTTCAATTCCCAGCAACCACATGGTGGCTCACAACCATCTGTAATGGGGTCTGGTGCCCTCTTCTGGCCTTCGGCATACACACAGATAGACTATTGTATACATAATAAATAATAAATAAATATTTAAAAAAAGTCATCTACATTGTGATTTCTATCATCTTACCCCTCACTCTCTCCCAAAATTCTACCAATCTAGTCTTGCCACCACAACAGCAAACAAATGACCTTCCAAACCAGACCATCCATGACTTTCATGTCACATTTCTGACTGCCTGTCTGCTCTTTTTGGACATCTTGGTGGGCTGCCCTAGCCATCCTGATGCAAACACTTCACTGCTAGCTTCTTGGACACCACAGTTTCTTGACCCGATTCTTTGGGACTTCTTTTTTTGGTTAGGCCATCTTTGATTACTCTCTCCTTAAAAGCTATTCTTTTTCAGACTGCCTTCTCTTGTCTGCATATTCTGTTTATGGGAGATTTCATCTACCACAGTTATCAAGTTAAACACCATGTGACAATGACACATTAATTTCTGGCTCTAGTCTTGATCTGTCTTGAACCCACATCCTCCCAGTCAGTTCCTTACTACCCTTACCAGGATTTATCCATGAAATTGCTACCTTACCAGTTCGCAAATTCTACTCTTACCGCAATCAGTCCCCTCCAAAAACCATTTTCATTCCCACAAGGCATCTTCATCTTAGTTTTCCAGCTGACAGCAAGGCGGCCACTTGGATCATATCCAACCTCACAGTCACCTACATCAATTCTCTTCTTAGTCCACATCTCTTTGCTTCTACTCTCCACCCCTCCCGACCCAGTCACTAGATTCTCTGGAACCCTTTCCTCACAAGTCATTTTCCAAAAAGCATCTGGCCTGTTATTTGAGTTGGGCCAATTGACTATCAATCCTTGACTTATAGTTTGGGAAGCTGAAATCCTTAGAGGTGAAAGAATTTGCTCATAAAATAAGTGCTTGTGCACAGTCACCCATTAGTAACAAACCAGTGACTACCCGAGCCAGTCCTGACACAGCCACTAGGACACCTGGACTCTCTTCCGTTCGCTGTGGAAGCCACCCACCTGCCAACCTCATGTCCACTTCTCCCGCTGGGTTGGGACCTCCGGCTGGTGCACTGTTTAGGGACCGTGGGATCTGGGAGGAATGAAGCAGGAGAGTAGGTTTGGGTGGTGGGGAAAGGGAAAATCTGTGCTGGGCGCGATCGGTGCTACAACTTGTTCCTCCAGACACCAGATTAGGCTCAGTTCCTCATGAGCGCTGGGAGAAGCACCACTGCCTAGCCAGCAGGGCCTTGAGAACCCGTCAGGGCTCACAGTCTGGCTAACAGAAGCCTCCAGGACTGGAACGTAGCAATTATTCTCCCAGACCCGGGCCCCTCCCGTGCTAGGCCCGGGGCTTGGGTCCGTCCTCTCGAGGCTGGTGACAGAGACCCGGCGGCCAAGGACGTTGCCTGGGTGTAGCGAGACGCAGACCGGATCAGGGAATTTCCCAGTGGTCTCGTTCGGCCGGCGAGGTGAAGCAAATGAGTCACGTAGACAAGCTTGACAGGCGCGACAATGGCGGCCCAGGGAGGGCGGCGCCGCTCCGCCATAGGCCCATAGGCTGCGCTGTGGGGCCTCAGGTCCTCACGTATGCTCCACCTCCAGACCCGCCTCCTCCCTCTTCACCAGAGGCTAGGTGGGAGGTGCCTGGAGAAGCTGTTTCTCTGCTGCTTGAGCTCAAGCTCAGCCTCCTAGCTTCCTAGAAAGAGCCTGAGTCATTGCTGCCAGATGAATCTCCTTCTACACTTTTTTTAAAAATTGGGACCATACCCTATAGTTCATGCTGGGGTTATAGGCGCAAACCACCATATCCAGCTCCCCCGCTGCCTCCACACATTCTCTTCAGTGGGAGAGCTTCCATTTCTACATTTGGTGAGCTGAAACTCTGCTTGTGTCTTGAGATTGGAGCTCTCATGGCTGGTAAGATGGATCTGGGGATACAGATAACGACATAAGGTTGACATGTGTTCTTTAAAAACATGGGAAGTCCAGAAAGCACATATGGAGGTAAAACAAAGCCTGAGTCCTAGAGCTGTTGGTTGCTGTCTTTCTGCTTTGTGTTTACGTGTGTATTTTTTCCCAGAGAGTGTTCTTTCTGATTTATGTATCACTCAGTGAGGGGCTGTCTGGAACGTTACCATCCATCTTCATGCTTGATCTTTTTGTCTCTACCACCTAGAGTGCCAGGGCAGCTGAGATGGTCCTTTCAGCTGGATTAATCTGTCTTCTCAGGCAGCAGCTGGACAGAAGTAAAACAACATTCCTGTCGTTTGACCCAATGATTTACAGGAACTCTACCCCACTTAGGTAATGCTCCAAAATATAGAAAAAGTTTACAGAAGCACTTAAACATAACATTTTCAGCTTGGGTACTGTAATCTCAGCACTTGGGAGGTGGAGACAGGAGGATCAAGAGTTTAAGGCATTCTCAGCCATTTATCAAGTTTGAGGTCAGCCTGAACTTCATTAGGCCTTGTCTCAAAAAAAAATGATGGGAATGGAGCTCACACCTTTAATCCCAGCATTTGGAAAGTACAGGGATGAAGATCAGGAATTCAAGGACAGTATCAGCTAGGACTTTGTAGTCAGCCTGAACTGCATGAAAACCTATCTTCAAAAAAAATTGTTGGGTGGTGGTGGTGCACGCCTTTAATCCCAGTAATAGGGAGGCAGAGGCAGTCGGACCTCTGTGAATTCGAGGCCAGATTGATTTATAGAGCTAGTTCCAGGACAGCCAGGGCTATACGGAGAAACCCTGTCTTGAACCCCCACTCCAAAAAAAAAAATGAGTCAGTGGTTAAGACTATTTTGTTGCTTTTTTCAGAGGACTCAGGTTTATTTTTACAGTACCCACATAACCATCTGTAACTTCAGTCCCAGGGGATCTGATGACTTAATTTGGCCTCCTCAGGCATTAGGTTTGCATGTGGTGCACAGATGGCTCAGTGGTTAAGAGCACATATACAGAATAATGTTACAGAATACCAGAGTTTGATTCTCAACACTCACATCAGGCTGCTCACAACTGCCTGTAACTCCAGCTTCAGGGGATCTGACAGTTCTCTGACTTCCTCCTACACACACACATACACACACAATAATTACAATTTTTAAAAGAAAACATTTAGTAAAGAAAAAAAGATAAAATAGTAATAACAAAATGAATATAAAACAAACCAAAAAAGAATCTAGAAAGAATATAGTAGTTTCTATATTGGCTGACAATCCTTCATAGGCACTCTCCTTACCATGGTCAAGGCCATCTGTTTTAGCAGCCTTCTGCTGTAGTCAGGGGGTTGTGTTTGTGTTTTGTCACCGAGTTTGGTGACCTCATGTACTTCTGGCATCAACTTTGGGCACAATGCCCTCCTCAGTAGGGCTCAGTAGAAGCTGCCAGCTACTAATATCCTCAAACTGATAGGTCACCCAAGTATCTGCCAGATTAGTGGTGCTTAGAAAACAAGGCTTGTACCTTGCTTAGAGCACGCAGAGGAAGTTTAAATCTCCTTGTAGGTCTAGGGTCAATTTCCTACTCTGCAGAGTCACACAAGAATGAGCCTGTCCTGGAACTCACTCTATAGACCAGGCTGGCCTCAAACTCACAGAGATCTGCCTGCCTCTGCCTCCTGAGTGCTGGGACTAAAGGTGTCACCTTTAGTCCCAGCACTCGGGACTACAAGAGCACTGATCTACAGAGCTAGTTCCAGGACAGGCTCCAAAGCTACAGAGAAATCCTGTCTTGAAAAAAAAAACAGAAAAAGAGGGACAGGGCTTCTCTGTGTAACAGTCCTGGCTGTCCTGACTGTCCTGGAACTAGCTCTGTAGACCAGACTGGCCTCGAACTCACTGAGATCCACCTGCCTCTGCCTCCCGAGTGCTGGGATTAAAGGCGTGTGCCACCACAGCTCCATTTTGTTTTTTAAGATAGGATCTTACTGTGTAGTCCTGGCTGGCCTGGAACCTGCTTTGTATTCTAAACTGGCTTTTAATCATATAGATCCACCTGTCTGTCTCTGCCTCTAAAGTGCTAGGAGTAAAGGTGAGTTCCATCAGATTGGCTTCAAGGATGCTCTTTTTATTTGTTTAATCTTTGAGGCAAGGCTTATGTGTGGAGGGTTACAAACCTCCAGGGTATTCTTGAACTGCTGATTCTCCTGCTCTACGTTCCATGTCTTGGAATTAAATCCATGACAACATGCCCTGTAAGATTTTTAAATTTATTATAATGTCCTAATTCTTTTTTATTGTGTGTATGTATGTGTGTGTGTCCATGTTCTTTTTTTAATATTTATTTATTTATTATGTATACAATATTCTGTCTGCGTGTATGCCTGCAGGCCAGAAGAGGGCACCAGACCTCATTACAGATGGTTGTGAGCCACTATGTGGTTGCTGGGAATTAAACTCAGGACCTTTGGAAGAGGAGGCAATGCTCTTAACCGCTGAGCCATCTCTCCAGCCTTGTGTCCATGTTCTTATATGTTGAGTGTAGACATATATGTACCAGTGCACATGTGTAGAGATCAAAGGACAACCTTGGGTGTTGGTCCTCACCTTCCCCTTTGTTTGAGACAGTCTCACTTTTTATTGCTGTGTATGCCTCCCTAGAAGGCACAAGAGCTTCTAGTCTCTGTCTCCCATCTCCCCACTGGAGTGCTGGAATTACAGGCAGGTGCTACTCTGTCCTGCTTCACATGGATTCTGGGGATAAGAACAGCATAGGAGTCCTGCAGAGGCAGAGGCAGGTGGATCTCTGTGAGTTCAAGTCCACTCTGTTCTACATAGTGAGTTCCAGGACAGCCAGAGCTACATAGAGAAACCCTATCTCAAACAAAACAAAACAAAAACCTAACAAACTAACAACCCCTCCTCCCCCTCAAAGAATGTAAGTCCTCCTGTTTGCATGACAAGTATTTTAGTCACTAAACCATCTCCCTGACCCTCTTTCTCTTCTTTTTTTTTTTTTAAAAAGACAGGATTTTACTACATAGCCCAAGCTGGTCTTGAACTTGCTGCATGCCAAGGATGATTTTTAACTTTTGATCTTTCTGCCTTTACCTCCCAAGTGCTGGTATTTCAGGTCTGTACCACCATGCCTGACTTATGTAGTACTCAGTGGGGATGGAATATAGGGCATCATGCATTCCAGGTAAGCACTCTACCATCTGATCTATTTAAACTGAGGTTTCTCTGCCCCTCCACATCCTGAAGCTGCTTCTAAATAATCACTCACAGGCTCAATATTAATTACAAACTGTTTGGTCTATAGTTCAGGCTTATTACTAACTAGTTCTTACATTTAAATTAACCCATTTCTACTAATCTATGTATTGCTACATGGCTATGGGTTACTGGTTCTCTGACATCTTGTTTCTTGGGTGGCTGGCTTACAACTCCCTCAGCTCTGCCCTTCTTTCTCCCTGTATTCAGTCTGGCTTTCCTGCCTAGCTATATTCTATCTTACTATAAGCCAAAGCAGCTTTTATTATGAGCCAATGAGAGCAGCATATATTCATAGGATACAGAATGTTTATTTCACATCAGAACTACATCTCTAGTCTAAATTTTACAAATTTTAAAAGTAGACTTTATTTTTTTAAACAACTGTCCTGTCTCATTTTGTTGCCCACTTGACACACCTGGGAAGAAGAAACATCAATTGGTGAATTGTCTGGGTGGGATTCACATGTGAGAATGTCTGTGGGGGTATTTTCTTGATTGCTGGTTGATGTAGAAATACTGAGCCTATTGTTGGCAGTTAGACCTGGTTGAGCTATAGAAAAAAGGTACCTGAATGTGAGCCTGAAAACAAACTGGCAAATATCATTCCTCCATGTCCTCTGCTTCAGTTTCTGCCTTCAGATTCCTGCTTTAAGTTCCTGCCCTGACTTCTCCTCAGTGATGAATTATGATCTGGGAATTATAAAATGAAATAAGCTCTTTTATTCCCTAAGTTGCTTTTGATCATAATGTTTATCAAGGTAATAGAAAATCAAACTAGAATAAGAACAATTGTAGGTTAACAGCAAATTTGAGCAATAATATATGTGATTTCCCCTGCATACACATGGCCATGCATTTTTATGTCATGAATGTGCCATATATTTTCTATTGCAATCAAGATACAAAGAGGAATCTAGTGATGTAGATTTTATGAGTGCCACCTATTTAGTGGTAGGACTTTTCCATGATGCAGCTGTCTGAGGATCAACCATGTTTCTGTAATAGGCACAAAAGTCATTTGGGGCAAAAAAAGATGGTAGGAAGAATATAGAATGATCCCAGGTAGGCACTGAGGGGCTCAGTGGTAGAGTACAAGCTAAGGCCATCTGAAAGGAGGGAGCTTCAATTAAGAAAATTTCCTCCATAAGATTGGCCTGGATTCACAGTGATACCCCCTGTCTCAGCCTCCTGAGTTCTGGATCTATAAGCTTGACTCACCACACTGGCCTCTGGTGGTTAAAACAGA